TATGTGCTACCAGTATGAAGGAGCATTCAAACAAAGCTAACAAGTAGTGGGAAAATAAGGTATGCAATTCATAATTTAAGATGTATAATTCCTTGCTGTAATATATTGTGAGTTTAAATTTGTATGGTTTTGAAAAACAATGAAATTAATACTTCGGAGGAAAAAAGCCTATTAGAAACTATGCCAAAATATACTTCCCAGTTTCTTTACAGAAAAATATCATATTAGTGTTTATTCCAGCAAAGGTGAATACTGCACTAGATTGATGGAAGTATTAGCAAGTCTAATTCATTTTAAGGCAAAGAGTTAACACTGGCCTTTAGACCAATGCTTTAATGCAGCCATTTTGGAAATATCAGGCTTTTGTTCCACCACCACCTAATACAAGACCCAAACCACATTTTTTTTTCTTGCCTTCCGCTGGGAGAATTCAAATTCCCTTTGGCCTGATCTTCTGAATGACCTTGGCATCCCCAAATGTTTGTAGGCTCTTGTTGGGTACTGGAAACTAAATTAGTGTGCTCTCTTACCTTGTAGTAGTGTCTGTATTTGTTCATTAACAGTCCTAGTCTCTTCATCACAGAATAATGCAACATCTAGTGTGCGTTCACAGCCCACAAAGCCAACCGTATCCTGGGCTACATCAAAGGAAGTGCAACCAGCAGGTCGAAGGAGGTGATCCTGCCCCTCTGCTCTGCTTTTGTGAGCCCCCACTTTGAGTGCTGTGTGCAGTTCTGGTGTCCTCAACATAAGAAGGACATGGAGCTGCTGGAGCAAGTCCAGAGGAGGCGATGAGGATGATAAGGGTGCTGGGGCACATCCCATACAAGGACAGGCTGAGAAAGTTGGGGCTGTTCAACCTGGAGAAGAGAAGCTGCGTGGAGACCTCATAGCAGCCTTCCAGTATCTGAAGGGGGCCTGTAAGGATGCTGGAGAAGGACTCTTCATCAGGGACTATAGTGATAGGACAAGGGGTATCAGATTCAAACCTTAAACAGGGGAAGTTCAGGTTAGATATAAGGAAGAAGTTCTTTACAGTGAGGGTGGTGAGGCACTGGAATAGGTTGCCCAAAGAAGTGATAAATGCTCCATCCCTGGCAGTGTTCAAGGCCAAGTTGGACAGAGCATTAGGCAACATGGTCTAGGTTGAGGCCTCCCTGCCCATTGCAGGGGGTTTGGAACTAGATGATCTTAAGGTTCTTTCCAATCCACACCGTTCTTTGGTCTAAGTCCACGAGACCTCCAATCTCTGTCTTCATGTTACAGAAGCTAAGGCTAGCACTATTTGACATACTGCAGTTAAATATTAGGAAGATACTGGCTTTCTGTGAGCATTCATTTCAGCTCAGTCAGAGGGCATTAGAGGCTTTTTCCCTACTCCAGTTAAATAAAAAAGGAAAAGATGTATCCCATACCTGGTCATGGCATCAATTTCTTAACTATGTCACTCTTCGGCAAACTCGGTCGTGCAAGGTTAACGATTAGTTAGCAACATCAACTATTTACTCCTCCTCCACTAAAAAAAAAAAAAAAAGGAAGAGAATGTATTCATCTGACTTGTTATCATTAGGTAATATCTTATGAAATGACTGTTTACTACCTTTGTTCTGAGGGCGTGTTGGACTCCTTAAAAGAGAACACAAATGAAGCTGAAGGTTCTGTAGCTACTGAAAGTCATATGGTTCATGACACTTCCTTTGAAGGCCCTCCAGGATCTCAAAGAGATCCTGGAATAAAATTAAAAAACATTGCAATTTAGCAAACTGCTTTCAGTAACTGTGTGTCTCTGTGTCTGAGACTGTGTGACTCAAGGCATAACCCACCGTCTAAGATTTGTATGAACAGATGGTTGTTTCTAATCTTTCTTGGATTAGAGACAGGTTCCTTACTATGAAGCAGTTACTTACTCGCATGCTATCAGATTATCTCAGCAGTATGGAGTAGGATTTCTCACTGTACTGTTATCAGTCCTCAACATCAGCTTCTGAGAGACTTGATCAAAACCGTAAAATACATATGCCACAAATTTATTTCTACTTCCTGCTTTCTCTCTTCCCATTTATGAGATTGGATGTAAAATCATTTTTTAATGTTAGATGCTGAACATTCTCCATTTTGTAAATTCCATCCAGTTCTGCTCTGATTTCCTATTTGTTGGATTATCCTCTATGCCCCAGGGAAGGCCTCCAGATAGATGGGATTCACCGCTGTCATTTAGAGTTGGACTTCCCTGCAGTCTGATCTATAATTAATAGGGTAGAAGGGATTACTTACATCCCGAATCCTAATGCAATAAATTACACCATTTTAAAACCAGAAATTTCTTTAAAACAATCTTTTTGTTTGGCCTTCTTTTGAAATTTTTTTGTTTATTTGGTTTTTTTTTTTTTATCTTTGACTTTAGCAGCACTGATTAGTTTATATTTGCTGATCACAATCCCCTTAAGAATCATAAAGCTTTATTTTGTCAGTCTTCATTATCTTAGCTTATTCAGGAGTGCTGGAAATGCAGTTAAGTAGTTTTTTTATTTAAATCTTCTAAGTTCTGTTTGAAAACTTTGACAAAATTTTGTCATAGGTAAATCCTTCTTACTGTGGTTTTGGATTTATCATACCTGCCTGTCAACCCATGTTCGTACAGCAGTTCACAAGACCATCAGTTTGAGGCAGAGTCCAAGCCTTATACCTTAATTCAAAATGCTGGTTTGTTTCTTATTCATTTCCAGCTGACTTCTATCCTGGATACACAAAATCTGATTTTACTTGAGGGACGGGAAGAACAAGTATTTAGGAAAATTGGATAAGTATTTGTAGAACAATGAAGAAGCATAAATGTATTTGTAGAACAATGAAGAAGACCAGCTTACTAAGCAGCCTTATCTGGTAGCTTAAATTGTACATTTTGTATTTAGGAAACAAGTACTTCAGTCTGCCAGTTTCATTTAGGAAACAAGTACAGTTGTTTGAAGATTCAGTGTGCAAAAACTGTAACAGCATTAATTACATGCCCTGAACTGATTTCCTTCTGGAGATACAAACTTGAAAAGATACAAATGTCATCTTCCATAAGGCTATTTATGATTTAATGTCATGCTTAAAGAGCTATTCTGAATGGCAATTCTACAGTTCAGTATAAACTAAGAACTTCATACTTGGTGTTCACCTGGTGCAAGGTACTTTCATACTCCCACAAGTGAAAATACTCTTACAAGGAGTGACTGTAAGTATTCATATGCTATATTGCCTACATGGTTTTGCTCTGTCCACAATATCCAATGAGGGTGTTAAGAGAGCTGGCTGACATCCTTGTGAGGCTGCGGTCTGTGATCTTTGGGAAGTCACAGAGATTGGGGGACATTCCATAAGACTGGAAGAAGGCAAATGTCGCCCCCATCTACAAAAAGGGCTCAAAGGAGGATCCAGGAAGTTATAGGCCCATCAGTCTTACAACAGTCCTTGCAAAAATTATGGAGTGAATTGTCCTAATGGCTGTCAGAAGTCAAATGAAGCACGTGATTGGGAAAAGCCAGCACAGATTCGCTGTGGGTAAGTTGCATTTGACAAGCCTGGTCATATTCTAGGACAAAGTAACCTGCTCGGTTGATGCAGGTTGAGTTGTGGACATTATCTGCCTGGATTTCTCCAAGGCTTTTGGTACACTTTACCACAGCCTCCTCCTGGAGAAGCTCTAGACAAGTAGTCAGTGCTGGTGACCAGCTGCACCCTGAGGGTGGTGCTGAACATTTCCTTTTCCAGCTGGTGACCTGTCACCAATGAGGTCCCCTGGGGATTGATACTGGGCTCAATGCTGTTCAATGTCTTCATAAGTGTTCTGCATGGTGAGATCAAATGTAGCATGACCAAGTTTGCTCATGATATCAAAGCGAGTGGAGAAATGGATATTTTGGAAGGGAGAGCCACCCTGCAGGATGACCTGGATCAGGTGAAAGAGTGGGCTAACCAAGAACCTTATGAAGTTCAAAAAGGACAAGATCATGCACGTGGGCAAACCCAATCCAAGAGTGCAGCACAGGCTGGGATGCAGCTCTGTGGAAAGGGACCTGTGCGTGTTGGTAGACAACCAGCACAATAGGAGTGATCAGTGTGCAGCTGTGGCAAAGAAAGCCAACAGGGTGCTGGGTTACATCAACGAAATCATCACCAGCAGAGACAAAACTGTCACTATCCCACTCTACTCAGCACTTGACAGGCCACATCTGGAATACTGTGTTCAGTTTTGGTCCCTGCTATACAAAAAAGATGTGGACAGTCTGGAAAAGGTCCAGAGGAGGGCCACAAACATGGTCAGAAGTCTGGGAAGCTGTATGAGGAAAGGTTGAGAGAACTGAGTTTGTTCAGCCTGCAGAAAAGAAGGCTCAGGGGACACCTTATCACCATGGTCAAATATTTTAAGGGTGGCTACAAAGAAGATGGAGACTCCCTTTTTACAAGGAATCACATGGAAAAGACAAGGGGTAATGGGCACAAGATACCCCTAGGGAGATTTCAACTGGACACGAGTCAAATTTTTCACGATGAGAACAATCAGCCACTGGAATAATCTCTCCCAGGAAATGGTGGATTCCCCAACAATGGACACTTTTAAGATTCAGCTGAATAGGGTGCTGGCACATCTAGGTCATGCTCTACCAAGAAAGGTTGGACCATATGATCCTTGAGATCCCTTTCAACCTACTGTTCCATGGTTCTAATGTTCTACAATTCTTTCTGCCTCCAACTGTGAAACAAAAACAAAAAAGGAAAAAAATTTATCTGGGCACTCTTTAATGGAGCCTAAGATGATGATAGTTCCTCTACAGAAGGTCCATACAGCTGCAGCTATTTGAATTGATTCTCCTCTTTGATGCTTGATGTGCCAAGTATTCTTGTTACAGATACTAGTTAATTGTAGTAACTTTTCATGGTAAACTTCTATTTAGACTCTTGATAAAAATTTGCAGGACCTTCTGCTGAAAGGCTTGTAAAAACTTTTTTGGAAGAATATCAACAGCCAAAGCCCAAAGTTATTAACTGTTTTCATAATCAGTCCTAACAATATTGATCTGCTATTACTGTTCCAAATGCAAGACAAAAATTGTGATTCTTTAAGTTATATTTCAGGGTATTTTTGTTATATTTAATACAGGCTTTACATATTCTATTTATCAGTGTAATCCTTGTATTCCTTTTTCAGGTCAGTTAGAAGTGATCATGGATCGTCGACTTATGCAGGATGACAACCGTGGCCTTGGACAAGGTGTCCAAGATAACAAGATTACAGCTAATGCCTTCCGACTTCTGCTGGAAAGAAGACATGGAACAGATGTGGTAAAATTCATTGTCTGGATTTTTCTGGCTAATTAAGTTTTAAACATTTCTGTTGCAGCAGCAGTAACTCAGTGAAGACATTATTCTATGATCAGTAGGACTAAGGAAACATAGCTTGCAAGAGAATCTTGTTAACTTGCATATTCTTATTGTGAAGACTTCATCTTTCACAACAGGTTACCCAGAGAGGTGGTGGATGCACCATCCCTGGAGACATTCTGGGCAGCCTGATCTAGTCAAAGATGTCCCTGCTCATTGCAGGGGGGTTGGACCAAATGGTCTTTGGGGATCTCTTCCAACCCTATATGATTCTACACTTCACACAAATACCTGCAGTGTCTGCTTTCCCACTTGTACTTCAACACGACTGGGGTACTGTTGCACTGTTGTTGGGGTAGTGTGTACTGTTCTTTCATTTTTATTTTTTTTTTCTTTTTTCGTATTGAGAAAATTGCTAATTAGCAAGACTTTTGCTTCTTAACAATATCAACTGAATCTGGAAAAAGGTTGACAAATTATTTCGGATGAATGGGTAGAAAGAGAAAACATCTTTATAAATACAGTTTTCTTAGGAAATAAGATTTAAGTGGAAATAGTTAGACATATAAACCTTTTAATTTCATTCTGATTCTGGGAAAGCGGAGACCATTTTGCTGGAACGGGATTTTTTTTTTTTTACATGCACAGATCTTAGTTCACCTTTTTTTGTATTAGTCTTATGAATAACTCTTTAGTTTTCTATCAGTTCTTTACATTTTCTCTCTATCATTTTTGAGGACAAAGTAAGAAGTACATCTTCATACTGAGGCAGTAGAATCATATTGACAGCACTGAGTATATGTTAAAATCATCACAAGGCTAAAGATGAGAGGATGTATCCTGAGCTGCTAATGAATATTCAGATAAATTGGATTAATTCTGGTTTATAATGGATATCATTAACCACTGTGAGAGGATGATAATACCAAGTTTAAAGCTAATTTCCACTACTTAAAGGTTGACAGTGTTTTTTTCAGGTTGTACATGTCACTATGATTTTCTAGTTCCTCATCGTGTACAACACAGGCAGCATATTAACTGCATTTATCAGTGTAGTGTGCAAATATCTGAGCTAACTTGAAAGAAGCAAACTTGAGTACTGCAGCAGTCTAGTTTTGACAACAAGCATTGCACGGGTTAATCTACCTTTGCAAGAAGAAACCTTCAGAGAGATGTATACTACTTTATTAGCCAGGGTAAATTGTATTGTGTTAAATTTGAATGTGAAACTGGTAAGTAAGAATTATTGGACACAGAAATTTGTGCTTAAATTAGCAAATAATTTTAAAACAACAGGAGCAGATCAAATCAATTAGTGCCATGGTGCTTGCATTGACACTGTGTGAAGTTTTGGTATTTTCCAGAGAACCATAAAATAACTCACTAAAATGTATCTCTGGAAGTCTTCTAGTCCAGTTGCTGCTCAAAGGAGGTCTACTTTTTGGTCAGAGCAGACTTAAAAAAACATCCAAAGGATTTGTCATCTCTTCAGACTGTAATGGAGATGTGAAGGGTTAGAGCACGTTTCGTGTGTACCTCCAGGGGAGCTTCTTGGTTACTTAGGTATAAAAGAAAACTAGTGCATGCACACTGAGACTCTTCTGCAAACTAGCACAATGCCTGGTTAAGTGGGGTTGGTCATAAGTTTAATTTCAGAATGGTACTGCTGCTTGAAACCGAAGCACTCCTTTGGAAAGTAGTTTGAGGTTTCCTCAGTTACAACAAAGGCATCATAAACAACTCTGGGATTATCTAGTTCGTGAAATATTTACATGTGTCTTTGCATATGTTTACCAGTCTGTTTGAGATACTAGTCAAACCTCAGCTCCATAGAGTAACAATGTATCTCCCTTTTCTTATTAAAATCTTTGTCCTTTCCTACATTTTTGAAAGCTTCTGTGCAAGTTACTAAAAATCTTTCAAGGGAGAAGGGACAGTTACCTGCTATGATCAGAAATCTTTGAGGCATTTTGGGTACCTGTGATCCAGCATCTACCTTCCTTCCCCCGACCCTGCCTGCTGAGCTTACAATGGTTTTAAATAACAGCAGAGTAAGCCTTTAAGGGTAGTTAGTTCTTACACAGTTCTGTAGGGACTCGAAAGGAAGAGGATCAAAGGTATGCCGGAATGGGGACAGCCAAAAAGATGAAAAAGACGTGCTGTTGGACCAAACGATACAGTGTGCACAACCTCCATGAGCCAAGTAACATATTTTAAGAAAACATTATATTTTTGGTGTTACAGCTGGAATTGCCCTTTGCTGACAGTTTCCTAACATTTTTGGTTTTCAGAATTTATCTGAACATCAGTAGCATTTTCTGATTCATGTGACTGTTTCAGTTGTTTTGAAGTGAGGAAGGGTAGTAGTCCCTTTTCTGTTCTGTCAACGTGCAACTGTACTTTTTAGTGCATTTTTACTTGTTGTTTAAAAATAGCCATGTCAGAAAAATTATGAAGAAATCATATGCAGTTTATACACGTAATCAACTGCAGTGTGACTCATACACTGACCCTAATTTTATTGTCAGGCCCCATTTTGTTATTGACTTGAAGAACCAGGGAACGGGAGCAGAGAATGTTGATCACTTGGTGGCATCTTTGCCAGTACAACCTTTTGTGTATTCCAAAATATTCCATTCTATCTTTTCTCAAACAGTTCTGAAGAACAGGATGTTTTCTGCTGTTGGGAAACTTCCCGTAAAAGGAGCCTGGGTGAAGTATAGGATGTGCAGTTCTTAAAAAAATAATTAAATGTGCATTGCTTTGGTGTAATTACTGTGGAGTTTTTTGGCTATACAATATCAGCCAAATGTTTCTTTTAATTTACATCTCTGAAGTACTTTTCTTCCCACACTGAACAGTATGTTTCAATAGCAGAGTCAAACCACATGGATGTCCTGTGGACAGGTAGAATCCTTAAAAAATCACTAGTGTAATCAAGTAGCCTGTATTGGATACCACAAAAAGCATATTCAGAATGACCATATTGTTCATTAGATAAGCTGTGTATGTAATAAGAGCTGGACAAATCACTTTACTGTGTACTCATTTGATTTATTGACAGCTGTGTCCCTGAGATTTCCGTTGAAAGTTTGGGCTGTTCAGCCTGAAGAAGAGAAGACTGCGTGGAGACCTCATAGCCGCCTTCCAGTATCTGAAGGGGGCCTACAAGGATGCTGGGGAGGGACTCTTCGTTAGGGACTGTAGTGGTAGGACAAGGGGTAATGGCTTCAAACTTACACAGGGGAAGTTTAGATTAGATACAAGGAAGAAGTTCTTCACAGTGAGGGTGGTGAGGCACTGGAGTAGATTGCCGAAGGAAGTTGTGAATGCTCCAACCCTGGTGGTGTTCAAGGCCAGGTTGGACAGAGCCTTGAGCGACATAGTTTAGTGTGTGGTGACCCTGCTCATGGCAGGGGGGTTGGAACTAGATGATCTTAAGGTCCTTTCCAACCCTATCTATTCTATGATTCTTATGATGTTGTTACCTTGTTTTGATACAATTTCTATATGCATCTTTTTCTTCTCTGAACTGAATTGATTTTATTTTTAAGTTTAAAGGATTATTATTTAACTGAGAATGAAACTGAGTATGGTTACAAGTAATTGTGTGTCAAAAGACTACATGTTTCTTTATATATTTTTTTTTATGTTTACAGTTATTATAACTTTTGTTAAAAATAAGGATTGATACCTTTTTACTTTCCAGCCCTTAATGTGTTATATTAGTATAATAATATGAATGAAATGGGATTTATAGGGTGTGGTAATATGTTTATTTCATCAATAACATAGCTGGAGAAAAGATGCCATGTCAGGCACACTTTCTTCTTCAGATTCCTATTTCATAATTTGCCTTGACTTGCTCAATTTATTTAAATGGATTTTAGCCTACTGTCAATCAGAGAGCCAGGATTCAATGGCTCAAATACCTACCATGGTTTGGGAGAGATTGTTTAGAGATTGTTTAGAATGATACAGGGAGTTAATAGAATCACAGATTCAGATAATCAAATTCCTTTTCTTCTACCACAGTCAGATAATCAAATTCCTTTTCTTCTACCACTTCCATCTACTTTTTTTGTTATTAAATATAAAAAGAAATATCATCAGTATCCAAATTTTGAAAACACATGCTTGGTGAGTTGCGTTTACCAGTTGGTGTGCATATTTGTAATGCAAGTATATGTTTCACATAGTAGCTGTATACTATACAGTGCGTTGCTATGCTACGTGTAACCACACCTTAACAAGCACAATTGATGTTTCAGAAATGCAGAAACTCAACATTGGCTTAACTACTACCATTCAGAAGCATTTTCAAGACCATGCATGACAACCTCAGATATTCTAATACCAGTTTTAGTTATGACTACCGTAGTGAACTCATCAAATATGTACAAAAGCTTGAACTTCAAAGTTTTGGCCTTCTGGAGGGCACAGAAGAAAAAAAGATAAGAGGGGGGTATTTTCCTCTTTTTCTGTCACACAGAACCCAGTGCATCTTCCTCAGATCCTTGCTACATACATTTAGTAAGGGAGGTGCACTGGCTTCATTTGAAGAGAGATTCAGGTATGTCTTAGCTCTTTACAGGTTTCCCTAAAATACTAGATCTAAATTTAATTACTGATACTACTATATAGATGATACTCTATTTCTTATTCTGGAAGTTTGTGTCTGCTTCTCAAGAGCAGTGTTTCTATCTCTTACTTATCTACAAACACTGTCTGCTTTCAGGCCAACACTATCCTCATTTTTATGCCAGGGCACCTTACAGCTTAATTTCTTTCAAATATTATTTTTTCTTGCCTTTGTGACAAAGGTGTGTTGCAGAAAGGTTCTAAATAAAGACAGAGTTGTCTCCAAGCATGTGATACTGCCCAAAGCTGTAGGGAGTGAATGCTTTCACCATACAGCAGCCACTCATTGCAGCTGGCTTATGGCAAAGTAGGGAGTACAG